AGTGAGATAGAAAATCATCTTATTCTGCCATGTCTTAAAATCAGTACCAACAAACTTATCCGGTCGAATTGCATGATTCACCGAAAATGGAGCCAAAAACGATGGCAAAGGTGCCGAAGCCGCAGCCGAAGGCAAAGTTGGGTTCATTCCAACATGAGGAATCCCGCCTCCAATTATCCCGTCAATGGGAAATGTCAGTCATGGTCTCCATAGGGTTAACAACGGTCATTACAGGATTTGGTACACCGGTACCAATAGTGTTGCTTCCGTTGTTCACATCGTTATTTCCATGTGACGCCATTGAACCGGAACAAGCAACAAATAATTTAGAATAATTATAAGTTTCTAAAGTTGTATATAAATTCGAAATCAAGTTATCTGTTTAGAAAATAAAACTACAGAGTTGAAGAACAGATTATTTTGTCAAATTATTAACAACTTAACAATCATTTAAAATGAATTAGAAATCATGCAAAACCCATGAACTGGAAAAATTGACAAAACTAATAAACAAAATTTGATTTACTAAAGCTATTTCAATTTAAGCTTGTAGGTAAATATTAGAGAATCAAATCAAATCGAAAGCCTGTATATTCACAGTTTCCTTAAACCGAATTCGCCGCCTCACCGAAGTGCAAGAGATTTTGATCGGTGTTCGATTCCCAGGATACAATCGGTTGTTGGTTCATGCTGCACTACGTTTACCGCCTGCGAACTAACTGTGATATACTCTATCTCACAAAGAAATTATAAGCACAAAGAAGAACTTGAAAGTGAGAAAAAGAAGATTGTTGCTTAGAGGAAGAAACTTGCATTTCATTTGTGATTTTCTAACCTAAAGAGACTTCTATTTATACCAATGGAGGAAAAACTAGCTCATTAATCAAGGAGTTAAACCATTCATTGATAAAGGAGTTAAAAACATGAAAGGACTTGAGTTACTTGAGTTACAACATATGAAGAGACTTCTATTCAATATTTTTCATTACTTCTATTCAATATTTTTCATTCAATTCTAACAGTTTACTTATAGAAGGTTAGGGTTGTAGTAGCAGGTTAGGGTAATAGGGCTTAGAGGATATTGAGTTTTAGGTTTGGTTCTATTTAGAAGCGGGTATAGGCTTGGCGGGTTGGAGGAATGGATAGGTGTATTGGATTGGGCCAGTGAATTATGTTTAGGCCTTAGGGAGAATCCAATATTGGGCCTATATAGTTGGAATATTATGGGATAGGCTTGTAAATGTATGTTTAATTGGTCTACGACTAAGGGTATGTATGTTGATACTTGATATATATAGAGTTGAGCCGATTATTGACTATGTGGTTTTGATAAACAAGTGGGCTAGGTTAAGGGGTAGGCTATTGATTTTGTGGAATATATGGGTGTGCGGATTGTAAAGACCATCGTCAATAATGTACAACAACCACATGAACAACGATTTATTTATTTACAAAAAAGAATGCGTTTAAATCCTTTCTTTTTTTTTCTTTTTTTTTAGCTAAGATAATGATGGAAAATAAGCTGCTGTTGCATCCCTTTTCTTTCTGTGTGGTCTTTTGGTGAAAGATGGTTATAGGATCTTGACTGAATGGTGGAAAATTGCAATATACATGGATTGAATGGAAAAAATTGGTTTGTTGGGATTTTGTTTGTGGATTTTAAGTTTTTCAAAAAGATGTAGGCCCCAAAAAGATGTAGGCCGAATGTCATGTACTACTCTGATGCCAAATTGATACGGATGTAATATGAGAATTATAGGAAAGGGAGGGAAAGAAGAAAAAGGAGGGAGAAACAGAAGAAGAGGGAAAGGTAGAAAGGAGAGAAGAACTAGAGAGACGGAAGAGAAGTTGGGAAGAAAAGATCAATCTTTATTTCATCGAAGTTGTTCCAATTACCTTGCTCAGTCCCACTTTATGTGGGGTATAAACGAATCCTAATTGAAGTGGGAAAATACTCTAAATAAATCACAAATTATGATTCCTAAAATAAACTTTAAAATTGTAAACTAACTATACTATTATCTATTCTAATACTTCATCAGTGATGTTTCACTTTTCCAAAGAATTTACATGCACAGTAAACTGCCCCAAGTTTTTGGTTTAAAAATAGTACTTGTAATTACATAGAAAAATTAGATGATTGCATTTGCTACAGCTGTAATTGCTTGAGAATGAACTCCAACCTAGTACATTTTGTTCATGGATTACTATCTTCCTCCGAGCTGATAGTAAACATGGATATGTGTGTGGTTTGATAAGTGTATTTTATACACTTATTCGGTACCTTAAAATAAAGATATTTGATGGTTCTTTTGACAAATTATATTCTAAATTGTTGTTTCTTATTTTTAATAGGTAAATTCTATGAATGAAAAGGGAATTGAAGGAATGAAGAAAAAAAAGCGAAATCCAAAAGTTGGGGACCAAGTTGTAAAAATTCAATAGTTGATTCGGACCATGAATCGAAGATTCAAATGTTTGGAGGTCAAATTGAATAATTTAGAAAGTGAAGGACTTGTATTGAACCAAAGAATACATGGGTTGCAAGAATAAAATGTTTCAAGGACTGAAATTTATTGTATGAAAAGATCGAGGACTTGATGAGTAATATAATATTAAAGTTTTTGAGTATGAGTCAAACTTGGTGGCTAGGTTGTTTTATATATATATATATATACACGTACAAACCTAGAGGGAAGAGTAGTCAAATTCGACAGAGAATTGAGGAGACTCCAGCTGGGATTACAATTAATTGGAGGCAGCAACTTTGAGAAGAATAATTACATGTCTGCTGGGTGTTAAAATTAATCTGAAAACAAAGAAATTCAACTGGCTGTTTGAGGAATTAATTGGCAGTAGCTTGGGTTCTCTCCAAAGTCAATTATTGCGGCTGTTAAGAAATTGAATTGATAACAGCAAGGCAGTGGACGGCTCGATAGAAAAACGGCAAATGGCAGATTCACTTTGAAAATTATTAATGTTCCGTCAATTTCCGGTGATGTCTTCCATAATTTATCATTTTTCTTCTATTATTATGAGTAGTTAATTTTGATTTTAGGGCGAATAATGTTATCTTTTGGAATTCTTTATTTTATGCAATTGAGATTTTAGTGCTTTTATATTTTACGTGTTGATTTTAATGTTGTTTTTAATGCATTTAATTACTTTATCACTAATTAGATGATTTGCAAACAATGATTGCGTAGATATGCAATTTATTTGTTTAGACCACATATTAAAATCCAGTAAATTAAATTGATATAACGTGTAGAGATACCTATATTGATTATTGTGGTCGTGTGTGAATTCTTAGAACCAATGTTTCATTTAATTAAATTTAATTTGTATAGAGATATGAAATTGAACTAATTAAATAGGCTCAACGAGAACTCGAGAGGAGTAAGTTCAATATAATAGAAGAATTCGACCGAACACTACTTTAGGTTTTATGAATCTTGATT